ACCGGCATAGAAGTCGGTGTAGTCCCCAATGTTCATTGGTAAATGCATCCGGACATCCCGCTGGTGAATAATGGCTTTCTTTTGGAGGTCTTCATTGTCGCGCAAAATCGAGGGAAAAGGTGTGTCTTTTTTCAGGAGCGCTTGGATGCCCTGCCGGACCAGGCGGTGTACCGGGCGTCCGAGCTGTGCAAAGGCATTGAGAGTTGACTGTGAGAAGGTGTGCGTGACTTTGGTAATGTCCTCGATTCCGGAAAATGCTAACTTGAGGTTGTCCGAATCCACGTGGGATGCGAGAACCTTGAGGTCGAGGACTGAGCTTCCAATGGCCACGGCAACGCGGGGTGCGGGGTCATCTCGGGTGGTTATAATGCCGAAGGGGATGTTGGCCAGCGAAAATTCACTGGATGGGCTGTAAGTTGGTATCCATGATTCCGTTGCCATTCTGAAGTAGCTTTTTAGTGATCAACAAAGATCTTACGCGTGAGACCTTTTGAAAAAAGAATATATCTTGGATATATCATTTCTTTCCCGGTGTTTTCGGGAGGTGCTGAGCCGGCGCGGGGCTCCTCCGCTCCGACGGAAACCGTGGCCCCACCTTTCACCGTTCCTGCAGGTACTCTCGACGGAGGAGCTTCTTCGGCCGAGAAATTGCCCAGGATGGATCAGTTCTCGAAAACTTTGGTACTTCAAGGTAAGCCCTTCACACATGCACCGTTACCTACTCAAATGAATTCCCTGCAACACAGACGTATACGCATGTAAAACACATGGAAAACATTATCCGCAGAATGCCTTGCTGGACCTCAAACCATACTATCACACAATTTGCTGAACCTCTCGACGGTTTATGAATCGAGGGAATCGGTGGCCGAAGTCCCGACCAGCCCCCCACAGTTTGCAGGGGAAAGTGTGCTTCGAGAGTACATACATACATAAGTGAGGGGTCCTCCGGCCTGTAAAGGCTGCCTGGACCACACCGCTGCAAGTAAGTCGTTTCGCGGGGTCTTGAAAGGACTTGAGAATGAGAATAAGTTAAGGGAGGGAATGGGGGAACTGTCACTGGAACCTGGAGAGCACTGAATTTCTCTGACGAGGGGCGCCCAACTACCTGCATCTGCATGCAGTCGTCTCGGTTCCCTAGATCCTCCAATTGAGCTTGCAGCAGCCTTGTAGCAGCTCATGCTTCCGCTTCCTGATAATTGTTGCATGCTTGTCTGCAATTAGCGCGCCTCCGGCCAATTGTCTGCAGCTTTGTTGATAATCTCGGGTTCAAATGTCAAAGGTGACAAAGGTCCAAGATTGGAGTTGGCTCCAAATGAACTACATAACTGCCATACATGATGTTTTATGGCTGTGAGTTGCTGTAAAATAGGACTGCACAGGAGAAGATTTGCCGCCCGCAGATGGTTGGTCCGGACAGCAATCTATTAACTTACCATCCTTCGGCATTTAAAAACGCATCTTTCATGTTCAACTCGGTGCTCACTCAAGGTCGGTTCACCTATATACTGTACCTCCCCCAGCCTTAATCCGACTTGCTCTTCAAACAGCCTGCAGCATGATTGCCGGGACTGTTAGTCACTCTCTTACTTCTCGTTGCGAGACCAGGGCCAAGCTTCCCGTCCCAAACTTCCCCCGGTCGTCCCTTGCTCATCCACCCGAGTCCCTTCTTGGGTTCCCCTAAATATATCTTTTTCCGGTTAACAAGGTGAGATCACAATATGCAAAGGCTCAATAGCCAGCTAGCCCATTACTCGATCCGGAGTGTTGCACGACGTGAGGACCCACGATGCAACTCTACCGGCATATTGGACCGAGAGGTTGGGACCAACAGGCGTGTTTTAATAATGCCGTCTAGACCCAGCGTCGCGTCGGAAACATGTATATAAACAACTGACTGATCCTATTGCTGGGTAATCCTCCTTTTTGGTGTAAGCCGTTGTCATGGTTCTCCTGAGTCTCGTTCTCGTGTCTCTGGCCGCTGCCGCCAAGGCTGTGCCGAATGCCAACATCAAGCGCCAGGTTTCTGAGCTCCGCAGCAGCTATGACTTTATCGTCGTGGGAGGTGGCACTTCGGGCTTGACCGTTGCAGACCGTCTCACAGAAGCCTTCCCCCAGAAAAACGTTCTCGTCATCGAGTATGGCGACATTGAGTATGCGCCTGGAGTCTTTGACCCGCCTGCGGCCGTCTGGGGCGGTGTTGGCCTGCTCGCCAGCTACTTCCTCTTCTGGTCTCTTCCAAACCCTGAGGTGAAGAATAAGTTGGGCATCGTATTCGCAGGCAAAGCGCTGGGTGGAAGCAGCGCAATAAATGGCCAATTCTTTGACCGAGGTTCTCGCTTTGACTACAACGCCTGGAGTGAACTCGCTTCTACTGGACCACACTCGGAACGTTGGGATTGGGATGGAATATATCCCTATTTCAAGAAGGCAAGTTGTACGCCATCAAAGTCTTGGGCCCCAGATCGCTAACCGAACGTGTAGAGTGTCACGTTCACCCCACCACCAGCCTCTGTTGTCCAGGAATACGGGTACACCTGGGATGCATCCGCCTATGGAGGGACAACTCCCATCTACTCGTCCTTCCCACCGTTCCAGTGGGGAGATCATGAGGTTTTGAGAGATGCTTGGAAGGATATGGGCATCAAGGTACCCACAGAATGCAATGGGGGAGACAAAGACGGCCTGTGCTGGATCCCCATGTCATCTCATCCTGTTACATTTAGACGCTCCCATGCTGGGCTGGGCCATTATGCTGCTGTTAACACGACAAGGGCAAACTATGATCTGATCGTCAAGCACCAGGTCAGCAGAGTTATCTACCCAGGCGGTAATACCAACAATGGTCCGCCGCTTGTCGAGGTCAAATCCCTTGTTGACAGCACTCTCTTCAACGTCACTGCAACTGGCGAGGTGATCCTATCAGCCGGTGCCTTTCACACACCAGCAATCCTGCAAAGAAGCGGTATAGGGCCGGCATCCTTTCTCAATGGTGCAAGTATTCCTCTGGTCAAGAATCTCCCTGGGGTAGGATCAAACTTCCACGATCATTCCGGTCCAGGAATTGCATGGAACTATACGAACCCTGGGGACTTGTCTCCTGCTACTTCACAAATGGCAGACCCCGCATTCGCCGCAGACGCCACGGCTGGATTTGACGAAGTTCCTGCTAGAGGTCCATACACGTTAGGAATGTCCAACTCAGCCGTCTTTCTATCCCTCCCCAAAGTTGCCTCCAACCACCAATCCATCATCAACAAGATTCGGGCCCAAGCAGCTTCGAGTAGTTCCGCCTCGAGCGTCCTCCCACCTGACTACCGTACCGACCCATCCATGATTCGCGGCTACAAGAAACAACTCTCCGTCCTCGCCGACCTCCTCTCTAACCCCCTATTACCCAGCGTGGAGATCCCCTTCGCAACAGGCAGCTCATTGAGAGCCATCAACTTGCATCAACTCAGCCGCGGGACGGTCCGCATCAATGCCTCTGACCCCTTGGCTCAACCTCTCGTGGACTACCGCGTTGGCTCCAACCCCGTCGACTTTGACGTTTACCTCGCTCACCTTTCTTATCTGCGTCAGATAGTCAACACAACAACCCTCCAGCAGCGAGGGGGAGTCGAGGTGGAACCCGGCCCGGGTGTTACGGATCTGTTGGACTACACCAAGGACTCGATGACGTTTTCGTATATGCATCCTTGCTGTACTGCTGCCATGATGCCCGAGGATCACGGAGGTGTTGTGGGTACTGATCTGAGGGTTCACGGTACGGAGGGGTTGAGGGTTGTGGACATGAGCGTGCTGCCTATGTTGCCGAGCGCGCATCTGAGTGCTACTGCTTATGCTGTTGGAGAAAAGGTAGGTTCTATTCTCTCATCTCTATTCATGATTGTACGTGCTAACTCTGGGTTTGTGTAGGCTGCAGATATTCTCATTAAGGAGTGGTCGAGGGCTGGAAAGGGAAAGGGCAAGGGTAAGAGGCGTCGTTGATGAACCCGGGTTTCGAAGTGTTTGCTCCCGCTCTCTAGTCCGTTGGCTTCAAGTTGCTGAGGCGAACAGTGTGTGACGGCAGGTGACAAACTGTTGTTGAACCAAAAAGATGATGTAGAAATTAAAGCGAAGAATTTCAATATGGAAGTTTATTTTAATTCATTCATTAAATGAAGGATATTTTTATACAGTTCAATGTGAAAAACAATTATACAGTTCAAAGCCCACTATAAGAATAAGCGACCTACTATATCACTCGCTAAAAGCGCTGGAAGCCCCCACTATAATTATAGCGCTTCGAAGACTCTTTCTCAACTTTCCATTACAGTGAAATATGTATATGAACAAAATTCCAATGGATTGACGGTTTCAAATGTAATTTTTGTGCTCAAATTGGTTTAGATGCAAATAGGTGGATTCTGCTATTTTGTATGTAAAAGAAATCGGCATGGAATCATGATCCTTTCAATAAAAACCAAAAAACCACGGTGAATACTAATTTCCATGTTTCCATGACCATCTTCATTTTCGTGAAGCCTTTTTTTGAACGTGGGTGATATTCCAACACCCCAATCACCAAACCAGATCACCAAACCACTCACAGCACCAAAATCTCCCATCCGGGTTACATAGCTTCAAAACAACCCCTTTCCTCAAAATCAAGCATCATTACCTTTCGTTCCATCCAACCAAGAACCCCCCCTGATTTGTAAAATATTCTCAGCAGCAGTGGGTTTTATCCCCGATTGACTCACACCGCCGGCGCCAATGCCAAACACACTTTCCGCCAACACCACCGTAGTGACACCCACCACCGCCCGACTCGACAGCGCACCACCCTCAAATCCACCCCAGCCATGCCCAGCCATGCCCAGCCATGCCCAGCCATGCCATGCCATGCCACCTGCCACCAACCAAACTCAAATCCCCCAACATCCGAAACTCCGTACGAAGGAAAAAAAAAAAGCCACTTTCCCATCTTCGACTCTCATCAAAAAACAAAAACAACAGGCTCAATGGTCTAGTGGTATGATTCGTGCTTCGGGAAATATACATCATCCCACAGTTCTCAATACCAGATTAAAGAACTGAAAGAATATTGTGCGAGGTCTCGGGTTCGATCCCCGATTGAGCCCCTTGTTTATTTTTATGTTTCTTTAAAAAAAAATCTCTTATACATTTGCTTCTCTTTCTTATTCTCTCTCTCTGACTCTCTTAGATAGACTGTGTGTGTTGGCTGATCAAGAGTTACAAATTGATGGTTGTCATACTGAGATTTATCTCTTCATCATGACATCAAGAAGAAAGAATGCGAAGTAAACAAGAAAAATGTTTGGCTCGGATGGATGGATGCTAGAACCTACATCGTCATGTTGTCGTGGGCAATTGCAATAACTAGTTTACGTAGTCTACTTTCTCCCAAAAGAAAGATTGATTGAGGACACACTAAAGAAAAGACGGTAAATTATGAGAAGAAAAAAGAAAAAAAAGTCCGGCAATAAAGTAACAATAAGATATGCTAAAAGGGGTATTGATGATAGTAACGCATCGTTCCACTCAACCCATCTCTTCCGTTAAAACTTGTTGACATCCCAACCTGGCATCCCATCCCATCCACCCCCCTTCAAGCTTATTTCCTTCATCCGAATACTACCAAAAATAAAAATAAACGAAGGACCAACAATAAAAATGGTATCATACAAGATTGACAAAACCCCTTTCCATCCCTTGAAAACCCCCTTACCATCCCATCCATTGCTACGCCTTCGGTTGCTCTTAAACGCCATTTTGATGCCTGCTCTCACCAGTAACCCCATTCTGCCCCTGTTTCTCACCCTCTGCCTTGACAGCAGCAGCAGGCTTGCTGCCCGAAAGAAACAAGTCCCTAAAAGCTGCATTGCTCTTCTTTTGCACGCCAGTATCAGTTCCTGAAGTTGCTGGCGCCGGTGCGCCCCCGTTTCCATTGACCTGTTCCTTCTTTGGTGCAACACCACCAACGAACCCTAAACCTTTCCGACCACCTGCTCCAAGAACCTTTGGGCGCTGGAGTCTCGGCGGAGGAGGCATCAACTCTGCTGCCGTAGGTTTCTTCTTCTGGGTAGGCAAGGGGACACGGTCTCTCCTCTCTAGCTCAGGTCGCTTCTCGGCCTTGGCTTTGAACAGCTCCGACACGTCATCGACGGCACGCAGTTTCTGGCTGCTGTCGCTCCCGAGCACCATGCCGTTAATGGACAGCAAAGCTCTGCCCGCCGAGGGAGCATCCGGGTACTCAATAATGGCCCCACCATGCTGGGGATGAAGGACGAGCTTGAGTATGTTTCCGGTGGGGGCGAGGACGGACTGAACACGATCGGCAGTCATGGTATCTGGGATCCCAATGACGGCGATTGTTCGGGCAGCAACCTCAGCCCTTGAAGGCCCCGTGGATGTCGGCTCGCCTGATGCTTCTCGGGGGGAACCTGGTGCAGGTGATGCTGCCGCACCATCGAGAGCTCGCGTGGTTGCCGTTTTTGCTGCCTGCGCCTTGGCCATCTCCACCTTGATCGGGTTCTTGCCGAAGATGAGCTTGTCAAGAGTCTTGATGGCTTCCTCAGCCTGCTCTTTTGACTCCATGATCACGAAACCAGTACCCTTGCTCTTCCCACTCTTGTCATGCAATATGCGGACACTCTCGACTGTACCTGCCTTCTCGAAAAAGCCTTCCACCTCTTCCTCCGTCATGCTCCGCGGTAAATTACCGACATGAAGCTCGCGGCCTTCCGTAAGGGCACCTGAGCGGGGCTTCTTGTGTGATGGGTCCGAAATCTGCACACTCAGAGTGAATTTGCCGCCTTTGAGTTCGCTTCCGTGAAGCTTGAGAGCCGCGGCGGCGGAGGCCTGATCGCGGAAGACAACGTAGCAAAAGCGACGCTTGGTATTGTACTTTAGACTCGGAAGACGGATATCGTGGATTTCGCCAAACTCGTTGAACATGTCTCGAATGTACTTCTCGTCAGCATCAGGCGGATAATTCGTCACGTAAAGCGTGCAGTCGGCTGCTGGAGTAACCCGGATGACGTGCTCCCCAAAATATTTTCCATCCCGAAGCAACGCTGCGCGCGCGTCATCTGCAGAGGCAAACTCAACCAAAGCCACAAACGTGCTGTCACGCTTCTTCATGTCGATGCTCACGATCTGACCGTATTCACGGAAGAAATGCTCAATCTTCTTCTTGTTGACGTCTGTTGGTAAGTTCCAAAGGAAAATGGAAGTGTGTTCTCTGTCTCGTTTGAGTTCAACACCGTTGGGCTCGCTCTTCGGCCGCTTCACACTCTCGTCCTCGCTCGGTGTAGCTTCACGTTTTCGTTTTGATCCTGGTGATCCTCCGTCCACCACGTCGTTCATAGTAACGTCTTGATCCGCTGCTTTGCCGGCACCCGCAGCGTATGCTGCGTGGTAAGCTGCTTCTGCCTCTGATTGAGCCTTGTGTGCTACCACTCGCGCCTCCCGTTCCCTACGCTTCGCTATTCCTTTGCGCGTCTTGAAGATGGTGTCGTGAGCCTCGCGCAGAGTCTCGGCAGTCTCGTAATCGTTACAATGCTTCTCAAAGATCTCAATGACACGCTCGGGCCAGTCCATATCGCGCTCTTTCAGAGCCCTGACGAAAACGTGGGTGGCGAATGTGGGAACTCGGAGGCCCTGAGCCAGCGTTAATGGGGTCGGGCTACGGGCCTTGTATCTTGTGGCAGTAAAGACAACCATTTCCCATAAATACCAGTTCAGCCAGAAATCGTAGCTGTTGCGGTGCAGGGCAACCTGAGCCAGCTCTTCCCACACCTTGCGGGCGCCGACGATATCGTCTTTCTTTTCGGTAAGGAACTGGATGAGTATCTTTTCAAGACGATAGTTGGGGTCTCCTTGGTAGTCGCGATAAAGGCGCTGACCCCAGTGCTTAACATCCTCGAGTGCTATTGCGAGTCCTGCATCGGCGATGTCGACGGCCTCCTCGGTGGCGTTTGGATTCATGGCAGTCCGCTTCAAGTAGCCGCACCACGCAGAGTACATGTCCAAAACAGCCCCCATGCCCTGCTTGTCCAGTTGGTCACTGTTGGTAGCAGCGTGCTTGATGCTCTCAACCGAGCTGAAGGGCAGCCCGGCTTCCTCGGCAGCGAGGATGTATCGTGCCCAAACGGGGCCGCACCACGGGATATGGCGAACAGCACGCTGAAGAACATCGAGCATCTTGGGTACGAAAGCTTCGGGGATCTTTGAAGTACCTGCTTTGAGATCTGTGTGAGAAGTGGAAACCAATGTAACGAAGTTTAGCCAGGTAGAATCGTCCGAGGACAATATGCCAGTGAGCGCTCGAGAAAAGAGCCCGAGACAAATCTGGTAGTTAACTGTTAGGTCCCCCTTTCTGGCCTTGGTGTTCTTGTGTTGCATGATCTCCCAATCCAGGTATTCACCCATAACGCGGCGCATGGACTCGATGTCGGCAGCAGCTTGCAACCTGGTCTCCCAGGTCTCTCGCAGGCCATACAATCTCTTTGCGTCGCGGGCATTCCTAGTGGCCTGCGCCATCTCGCTCTCGTATGCGTGCCTGTTATACTCGGAGAGGAAGCCAGAGAACATTTGCGACGTGTCATCCCAGGTCGCATGAGGAACCATGAGCCGGTTTCTGAAGAGGTGGGTGATCCTACGTATTCCAGCATCAGTAGCCACGGGTTTCAAGAGCTCCATCTCGAGAGAAACCCAGCGGTTCCAGAGCTCGTGGCTGTCGGAGAGCCTGTACTGCACGGCCTCGTAGCCTTGTTGCCAGAGTTTGAGGGCAGCATCAAGGGTGAAGATTTCGCGGCCCATTATCTGCTCGGCGGTTGACCATCCAGCACCGCTACCGGCCTGGCACTCGGCGCGCAGGGACCAAAAGTAATCGCAGTAAGCCAGCCATATCTTCAAGCTGCCCGGCTCGGCCGACACGGCGTCTCGGTAGGCCTCGATCACTTGCACCCTGTCGTCAAGATCTTTTGCATCACGCTGCCGCTCCTGGACGGAGTCGTACCAGTTATCCTCCCCCACCGGACTCGCCATGTTCGCTGGGTTGCTCTCAGGAAGGTCGAGTCATCGGACGTCAGTGTTGTTGTGGGCGCCGTTTGCGACTTCTCGTGGAATCGGCGGCGCGGTGCGATTTCGGTTTCGGTGCAGTTTGAAAATTGCGGCTTGGATGCGACGGTTGAAAGTGGTCAACTCCTAGAAGCTACTTCCCGCGGTGGGAAATACAAAATCAGCCGGCTCAATCGGCTGCCAGTGTCACAGCGCTCTGGGCCTGGCAAAGCAAGAGGTGGGGTCGCTAAAAATACAGTGCGCTGTACTATGGTAGTGGCCCAGCTTATGGCATCCTCATTTTCAGCCTTCCTTTTTGACTGCGCAAAAGATGGAACGATAGCTTTTGCCCTCAAACACTTTACAGAGTGAAACAAACATCTCATTTATAATCTACATTGTTGATAAGTCTCATGTCAAACACGTCGAAGAAAAGTGGTTTCTATCCACAGTCAATGGGGTCCACAGGAACACTGTATTTTTTGTGAGTCTCTCTGCCAAGACAAATTACAGACACCCAGTACCAGCAGATGCTGGGCCCCGTCGGAGCAGCGTCCGCGAATAGGTAAAAGCGTGAGACAGTTTATCTGGCCGAATGCGATACCTGCCCTGGTAAGCTAGGTCCCTTAAAGTCACCTTTCCTGGAGGGTTGTTTGGGCAGGCAGTGAGGGGAGGGAAGGAAGAAAAAGATGCAAATCGTCTTACTTCCCCAGCGCGGAGTAGTGTAAAAATACTCTCTGCAGCCTGCACTCCGGCAGACAACCACAAGCTGGTCACCTAGAAACCTCATCCTTGCAGCACCGGGCGCAGCCCAGGCGAGACCCTTTTATGCGACCTTGGAAATATGAGTCTCTGTCTTACCCCAATGGATGGCAGCCTCGGCCGGCGTATTTCTTCCGCAGCTGGCGCACTCTCAAAAAAAACCTGGAAGTCCAGCCCTGAGAGGTCGCTGACAAGTTCTTGGGGGTCCGCTGATCTTGTCGATCTCGCTCGGCTACGGCCTCGAGCCAATGAGGAATGAGGTCCTACCACCTTTGGCTCCGAATCTTTGTCTCCC